AAAGTCAAACGGCGACGCCACAGGTAGATGGTCCTAGCTACACAGGCACGATTCCTTGAGTTCCTTCAACTCGGAGGACAATCTGACACGCTCCAGCAGAAACTGTTTCTGGTTAAAGCGTATAAGCTTTAATTACGTGCGTAGGATTTTTCGATGTATAAAATTTTCGCGTAAGATGCTGTTTTCCGTGGAAACCGCACGAGCGGACGAGCTTTCAACTTACTTTCATGTCACCTTGTTTCCCACAGCAAATTCGAGCCAATACGATGCTGGATCTGGCAAAAGTCCATAAGCATTCTCGGATCGACGCTTACGCGTGAGGACACTTGTTACTGTCACCAAGATTTTGACTTTTCGTTTATATTTCAAGCCATTAAGGAGTAGCAGTTAACAATATCGTCATTCCCTCCATTCTACCAAACGCTTCATCGTAGATCTTAGTCTTGCAGCTTCGCCGACCAACTTTCGTTGGACTAGTCAATAAGTCTGCTGTTCTCGCTTTTTGCTGCCGGCAATTCTAGTGACGACCGACTAGTACAGGCGCAAAAGCAATTTAATCGTTCTACACCTCGTACTTACATAGCATAATTTCATGTACCAAGATAATGCCATTTTGCTCCAACTTGCGACACTTTATTTTTTTAAAATGTGAGTCTGTTTACTTGGATGTGTCTTCGGGACTTTCAGCGGGCGAGCCGTAGTGAGCTACAGAAGATCAGAAAATTCGAGTGATTAATAAATTTGAGGTTCATATTGGAGCTATAACGGCGGAAAGAGCTCGCCTTATATCACTTGTGTTCCGTGAGGGTTTGTCTGATAAAAAAAAAAGGGCCAAGAGCAGTAGAAAAAGCTGAGTCATCTTAGCGTGCACGGGGGGTTAGCACCCAGGTCTGATATAGGCGAAAATACCGTAACTGTTCACCCTGGTCAAATCAATAAAATGGAAACTTGATAAATTGGTGCTCCGCGATTCAAGCGAAGAAATTGTAACTTCTTATAAAAAAATTAATTCTATACGATAGTCGTTGACGGTCAGCTGATGGATTCAACTGTACCGGCGGAGTATCACCCTGAAACAAATGCACAGCTTAAAAGTTGATGTGTTTGGCTTCATCAGCTCTAGTCAGTCGATTACGGCTGGGGAGCGCTATTCATCGTTGAAGATGATGAAAAAACTTCGCATCAAGTAGCCAATATCCGTGAACCGATACGAACCGTTTTAATTACACGACGGTGTTCGACCTTACGCCGCAGGCATCATAGCGCGAAAATGAAAGAGTTTTAGTTCGAGGCTGTTTGTTGTCCACTATGCTCTACAAACACTGCTCCCACAGATTATCATAATTTTCTTGAAAAATTCTCAACGAAAACATCATTCAACATGTAATTTTGTTTATGTCGATATTGCTACCCGAGGCTTCATAGATTCTTGTATCCTAGACGTCCACAGCAGCGGGATAAATAGGTCCATCCAAACGGCAGACTGTCATAGATAATAAGCATACTTCAACTGCAAATAAAAGAATATGCCTGTATAAAAGGCTTGAAATGCTTACCATATCCAGTAAATGAAGAGAATGAATCGCGAATAATTAGAAAGAAGAAAAGGTCATCTATAACAGAACGCCTGAGATTATGGAGCTTAGTATGAATGAATAATTTCGAAAAATGAAATCGGCTGCGATGTGAACTATGGGATTTCTACGAAACAGCATGGTAGCCAGCTGGAAAGCACTTGTCTACGTTGAAAATTCAATCAGCCCGCAGTACTGCCTGACTAGCTACCTGTTACTAAATATAACGGGAGCAATACAGCCGTTAATATTTTATAGCGCGTATTTGTCAATCCATCACAGAAAAAGTATTTCTTCTGTTTGTTTGCACTCGAGTCTCAAAATTACCCGGACCAACAATTATATAAAGAAGAGTCATCTGATGCGAGAACTGGTGGAGGGATATTCAACTATGTCAATGAAGTGAAATGAAAGAAGCGAGCCAAGTGAATCATACCGTTAAACGAATTTATTCAGATCTTGACGGCAAATAAATAGCCATTGCATAAACACAAAACACTTTGTATCAATTAAATTAAAAAAGAGACGCTAAACGTTAATAGCCAATACTGGCGGATTGATTGGATACCCTAATAGAAACGATATAGCCGTCCTCAAAGCTCCTGCAGCGATGTCGGACGAACCGCTTCACTCTCGCTCTAAACACCGTCTCGTAGAAGCGGTGCAAGGACCGGCACCGCACAGCGTCGGGCGAAATTGAGATATTCTTAAGCGAATCCATGCTGGCAACACGTTAGACGACGAGACCTCTCAGGCTCAAGGCTACCTCAGCAGCAGGACAGCCACAGTTTTCTTAGTGATCGTGACAGGGCATTGCCACACATTAAGCAGAAACAAATACGAATTTATTTCTAGCGCTAAATAAATAAGCGAACGTTCGACACCCGAAATGTTATTCAAAAAAAAAAATACTAGTAGAGTATAAAGCATTGCAAAAACGAGCATTGGTCACGGCCAATTCATCACCCCGGAATGACCACAAACAAATTCTATCTGTCGACCCTCGTACGTCCCTATATGCTTGATATAGTAATTCTTGTTTTTCGTCGATGCGCACAAACAGAGAAACGAATTTCTTGTTATAGAGTCTTGGAAATGGAACACATGGCCCGTAAACGCACTCTACTAGTGAAACGTGCAGCATAATGCTCCAACGCAACGCATTGGTCCAACGCAAGTCGAAGTCCTGGCGTCCGACACACGGCGAGAGTTAGGACAACGATATTAACACTATAATTGCATAAATAAAGCAAAATAACTAAACGGAGCACGTCACAAGACCCAACAAAATCAAAAATAGAATAAGGCAACCAGGTGTGATAGTAATAACAACGATAAGATAATAGTGGAGTGGACAAATAATGATGAATAACTACAGTAATATAGTTACCTACTGATATACAAGTTGTTGTCCACATGTTATTTGTACTTCCTCAATTCCCTTTCGCCAATAATTCGCGTAAAAGATTTGGGCCTGTTACTAGGACACCCCAAGCAGTATAATATATGAAACTTGGCGTGGTGAGGAGAAATTATTAGCAAACGCGTACAGCTTTAATCAAGATACCATTTTTTAAAGTCATAGATACTTTTAACAGATGGGTGGTTTTGACCGCACAGTAAAGGTTGTATCGTGTTTTTGTCTGGCATTTCTCGTATATGTCAACAACTATTCGAATGAAACATTCTTGCAGATTGGCCATCTCATTACCTCGCTGGTGTGATTCGAAATTATTCCAAAAAGGCGAATCTGGAAAGAATGCCTATGGTGGTACCAAAAGTCGTCTGGAAAACAAAAAAGGTGAGTATTACTTGTGAAATATATAATGCCAGTGTGGAACTCTCTGGGAGGTCCGAGCACTGTCTCAGGAAATAATTATAGGACAAGTGTAACAATAAAAAATACCACCTAACCATTAATTTCAGAGCAGTAGTTCGAAAGAAAAAGAAATGATTACGCATCTGGTGAATGACGTAGATCGGTGGCGCCTATGTATATCATTTGCATGCATTAACTGGGAAGATTTTTAGTGGAATCGGCGGTCCGCTCGTTCCTACCAGAAATCTTAGCTCTGATGTATTACCACTCTTACGAGGTGAGACACAGAACTGGTGCTTTAGTGTATAGGCATGGGTAACTGTATACGAGGCTTTATAACATTGATCACACTATGAGGTCTAGTCACGCCTCTCACTCGAATAGGACACAGAGCTCACCATCGATGCGAATACTTTTCGACGAAACAATGTTTCACCTTAGGAAAATAGCACAATGCCGCAGGCTCGAATTAGTTTGCTTCCAAAAGCAGATTTGACGTTTCCAGATATACCTAATGTTATATCTATTCTGTGTATGCCACAGAAAAGCGGTATCTAAATCTCAGCTGTATCTTCAACAACAAGCCTTGAGCCAAACATTTGTCCAGGGTAGAGCACTCACTACGAGTGGTTATAATGTTACTAAAAACTTCTCTCTTGAGCGGAATTATACTGTTGAATGTGTCTCTGCCCAGGCTCAAGTCACCTGTTTGTTTTTCCGTTTCGTCATTAAACTGACGTTCAGTTCGAACCTTCGAATAGATTTCTGAGGCCTACAGGATTCTATTTAGTCGTCATTGTCGAAAGGTAAAATCACATACAACAGGGCCGTCGCCACAGATTCTCTCCTGCAGCTGCTTGCCACTACGATTGTACGCAAACTTACCACCCTTAAATTCAGCCTAAATGTGTAGCGTACTAATGCGACAATTTGTCTTATAAAAACTCCACGATTTCGCTGGTAAACTTCAACCGTTGTTTGTTAATTTGCTTTGCGTCAACCCTTGTAGTATGGTAACAGACTGTTATTATTAATCTTACTATATCCAGATCGGCAAATTGCAGGCGACCTTTGTACAGAATAACATAACCGGTGATTCTGCCGAAATTCAAAAAATGTGTAAATATGGCGGACCGATGTGGCAAGTTACGCAGATCCTATCAGCGTCCAACTGCTATTCAATTTTGTGCAAAGGCAAATTTTGATACTACATTATTAAATTAATAGACGATTGCGAGTTTTATACGCAATCGTCTATTCATTTATTTCTCCAATATCTAATCCTCTCCATTGATATGCAGTACTAGGGCCCGTCCTTCGGAATACGCATAGCGTGTAAACAGGATCGCTGGTCCTTTGCCGTATAGCCGCAGCTAACTAAGGACTAACAGAAACAGCAATATAGAACAATAAGAATAAGAAAAATACTCGTACATTTTAATTGCCACATTAAAAAAACGAGAACGAAATAATGGAACGTTATAGTTGTGTTTCATAGCAGCGAACGATAGGCACGTCGTGTCTTTTGTTACTTGAGTATTGAGTGTCACTATCTGCCGTCATTGGTCCATGCAGTCGTTACTCAATTGTAAAGGCCATACGTTCATTGAAAACGAGTGGATCTACGCTGACAACAGTCAATTTATTCAGTATCTGACAAACTTCTTGACGTCAGAGTGCGTCATGTCGTTAAATTTTGTTAGAGCGGCCATAGCTGTTTGTCTTTCTGGATCAGGTATATTTGGTGCAGCCGGTTCATCATGTCATAACGCGCAAATACCGTATACATACAAATCCCCAAAAGGAATCCAATGATCACTGTAATTAAATATTCATATTTAGTATTTTATTGTGAAATAATACCGATCGACAGATACCAAATTCACATCGGAAGCCTACGTTTTTAGTTAGAAAGCAGCGATTCACGGTAGGCGCGTTACGTCCCACTGCTAGATACTAGAGATTCTTCCTTCACCTCTTTATAAGCTTTGGCAGCATACAATTACTCGGAAATTACTACTTAAAACATCTAATCCAAGCTAATCGATAAGAATCGGTCTCTTCGCTAACACTTCCGCTAGGTTGCTATCTTTCTGCCGGTAGGAAAAGCATAATTGCCATAAGAAAGGATCCCAAAAGTCATTCTGATCGGTCCTAAATAGAACCGTTCCCAGAGGCCTGCCGCTTTCGCTCTTTCCCACACCAGCCATGACGGTACACGGCTAAGGTAAAGTAAGACAATCACACACAGAACCCTAAAGCAGAACTCCGTTTGGCAGTCGACAGAAATAAAGTCCTCTTTCGATATATTGTTCCTGTATTATTTTGATATGTACGTATTATTTCTACAAAACCCCATTTCAGAACATGTCCGGCCAAGCTGGGAATCTTCAATAGGAAAAATGCATAATATCTTCGACCTGAAAACCGATAGATTAATTGATCGTGGCTTAAGCTTAAGAGTCGGAGAAGGCGTTGTTCGCTAGCTTCTGGCGTTGGCTACATGGAGTCTTCCGTAATAGATATGTGTAATAAGCGTCGCTATTGAATGATTGATTAACATACGCATGAAGAAATGGCTTAGCCATTGGCATCCACGTTTGACGGGTATCGGTGGCGACGGTGAGCTAGCAGCACTTTGCGATGGACGATTTTGCACATTTGACAACGGGGTGACGGTTTCCAAAGGCGGTATAGTCTCTTCAGTTGAACTAGGTTCAGATCTTCTGTAATATAAAGAACGAATAACCCATGTATGGTGCCTCTGACGGCGGTGAAGGCAGATAAACAGTTACGAAAAGCACCACACGAAAAATGAAAGCAAAAAGAAAAAAATTTCCAATGACTGAAGGTACATAAACGAACCATACTGGTACATAATGATGAACCGGAAGAGAGAGGGTTAACGCTTTCATTTGTAAAGCACGCAAACAACGCGTTCATACGAACCCTGAATAGCGTGGCACATCGTGCACAGAACAAGCTATGTCCCATAAATGGTAGTCTAGGTGAATACGGTAGTATTCACCTAGGACTACCATGATGTAGTTGCATTGACACCGCCAGATCTTCGCGAAGTGCTATCGGCGTTCAGAGCTAATGAATACACCTCGTTTAATCGAACACCGTTTGTAAATTCATAGTTCGATTTACGATATGTTGGCACTGCTAATTCTGGACATTTAACTGCCATTGTGCCATAGTCGATCGTAATTGTTATTTTGTCTCTGAACTATAAACAAAAACACGAGCGTAGAACACGTGCTGGTACCGCCAATTTAGACATTGTTCAATTGTACGTTTTAGCTTCTCAAAATATAATCACGCCCGAAGTAGCTATCAAATGATAATAAAGAACATATAATAATGCGGAGTTTTCTATTTCTAGTTCTGTCTCGTTCAGGACAGCAGGCGTTAGCCCCTAACTAGTAATAGGCCTAACTACAAAAAAACGCAACAAAATTTACTGCCGTAAATTTTAAAGTTAAGCCGCTTGCGGAAAACAGTTGCCGCTTTAAAAGGCTGATGTATAGCAAACGCAGTAGAAAATACAGATATATCGAAGGCAGTGATCTAAAAATCGGCAAGAAAATCCCAAATACGCTTTCAGCCACTATAAACGACGCATTTGAACGCTGACTGATATCAGAAGCCTAGCGCTTCCCTTTGAATGCAACCGAAATGTTCTTGTATAGATATTAGATCGTACATACGGTCTAGCCATTGTTTTGTTTTTAACACCGCGCATTATCAAGAAAAAACATGAAAGGTGAATTGTACGGAAGACATTGAAAACCATCAAACCGGACTAGTCTTCTATAGGTCAGATCATTTGCTGATCATATACATAGTCGCGAGTCGTAATAAAGTATAGAGCAGGTAACTTTGGTTGTTTGAGAACCCGCTGTTTCAGGCGTATCGTTATAGAAACCAAAATTTAATAATTTGGTTTTTAAGCATAAAATCATAGGCCCTCTTCACAAGGTTCCATCGCCGCTACAGTGCATAAGATCTATACTTGCATATAAAGCCGATGTTTTCTTTAAAAACTATTTTTTTTTTTAGAGAGTGTAAAGCGTAACCTAACGATTCGTGCGCCATTTATTTCTACCCTATTCCACTAATATTTCCCAAAAAAAAATGGATAGCAGACAAGTAATGCCATTGAGGAAAATGGTTAATTTATCATTATCTGTTACTATCAGTAGGACGAGTCAGTTAGCCTGAGCCGGCGTTGTCGGCTTAGAAGCTCGTCGAAACACTCGTTTGAGATACAACGCATCTCACCGTTTTCGGTATACCAGCATTGTAGAAGTTTTAGCACAAAAGCTACAATCTTTTACAAATGTTTTAGCTTGAATGGTTCGGCTTGAAATTTATGGATATTCTCGGCCGATTTTTTCTGCATTCTGAACAATGGTCATCGTCGGGAAATTAAGTAAAAGAAAAACCTCCACTTTTACACTTGGGCCAATTTAGTCGAATGAGTAGCACTAAATCCCTGTCCCATACTCCAGTTGCAGATTTATTTCGACGATATCCGAATTGGAAAAAAATTTCTTCGAACAGGTTTTTTTTACTTCTTAATTTGACCTAGACTGGCCTAGGCGGAGTTGTGCACGTAGCGTTTTACTTGATATTCAACCACTGTCGTGTAGAGAGCACCAGAAACTGTACACGTACGTCCTGAATTCCCAACATGAAATCAACAAAGGCTTTAGTATTAGGCGGCATCATAACAAAAATTTACTCGCTCGAAGCCATAGCCAGACAGAAGTGAGCCGACCTGTTGATGAGCGCAGTGATTCACTAGCGCCGTGGTTTCCGACGTAGAATCTGTTCACCATAGGCGTAAAAATCATGGTTTTTTAGAAAAATAACGTTCATTCGTCCCCTATTTTTTGCCGAAGATTCATATAGTAATAGCTATTATGGTAATGGCCTAGATTGAGCTATGCCACGGGCGTTGCACGTAATCCTTTACACTCTACTAATTCTCCATATTTAGAAAAATAAAAGACCTTACTTCTTGAAGAATTTCCACTTTGGCTTCAATTTTGACAGTTTAAGTCCCCACGGCTTTGATGTATCTAACGATTGGGTTGACGTCACTTCGCTTATGTCACTTTCGACGATCTTGTTACTTCGGTTCGCGCTGGGCCTCCGACTAGGTGGCCTAGTATCAACCTTTGGCCCTTTGCTAACCTTACTGGCTTCGCTGCTAGTTTGACTTTTTTTGAAGAACTTCATTTTTGATGTAACAGATTCGTTGGCCACTGGTGGTGTCAATCTTGTCAAGCGCTTTGATGTTTTACTTACAATTTAGACGTCGAGCTGCACAAAAGAGTATTTTTAGTTCAGCGTTCTGCATATATATATATATATATATATATATATATATATACACACATATAATATATATATATATGTATATAAATATATGTACATATATGTATAGCCAAGAGGCCTGAAGATTTTTGGTCTTTCCGGCGCGACACAGGTTGGTGGGATTGAGTGGAGCCTGCATAGCCTGCCTTCAGGATATATATTTGTTTCGTATGGTATATCGCTACCAGCCTCAACCTATACTACTTTCAATTTAGGAATAACACGAAAAAAATCGATTGAATTGCGAAACATGCCATTATGTATATTTACCACCCGATTTGTTAGTCATTAAATATCATCATCGTCATCCGTTACGGGAAATTGCATGCAGAATGACTGGTACGGGACCCGAGAGCTTCACCGTACAGGTGCACTCTGTGTGAATATCTCAATTAAAAACTGCCGACTGACCTTATTTCCTTATTACATCATTTGTGCTTATTCGACTCTGTCACAAGCATGTATATTTACAAATAACAAACTGACACTTACCGAAATGGAGAAAATACGTATTCCTGCGCCCTGCGACCTATCAGTAGTATCCATAAGATGAGATTGCTTCGTTATTTAGTCATTATGTCAAAATAAGAACATTTCTAAACTGTAGTAATGAAATACTTGAATACCGCGACGTTCGCGGCTGACCTACGTGTTGATCTTATTAGAACCGCACGTCGCGGCACAAAAATAAACCATACTATTTAAATAAACACAATTCTTCTTCAATACATCAGAAGTGACGTTTGGTACTGTCTTAATTAGGTGTTGTTTTAAACGAGTGGCTACCAGCTCAAAACGAAGTGTGTCTAAAATTCATTTCGAACATAAACAACCTTACGTCGAAAAAAAAACAGAGAAATTTTCGGTAAACTGCCCGTTCCGTTGACGCTGTTAGCCATCTGATTCATATATAATGTAAGACCTTTATGTTAATGTAGATATCGTTCGACTGAAAGAAGATCGGGTACACTTTTACGCTAGTACACATAGCTGTACTGCGGTAACTATACTACCTTAACTATATTATATATTGGATAGCACCCAGAACAGGAACGTACGAATTTTGGCCTACCAGGAATAGGTTCTGTTGAAAGGCGCGTATTTTCGCACTTTACAATTTAACTACAATTGTTTCAGTATTAAGTAAGACAACATCTAGCCAATCAGTTTTATTATTCATCACACAATAATAATCAATTACAATTGTGCTGTTTGGTGAAAGCTAGTCATTTGTAGAAAGTCATATTTCACGAGCAGACGCCATAGGAACCACAAGATGTAAGTCTTCATATATTCATTAGACGAGGAAGTATTCGAAAAGATCTAGGCGAAATCATTGATACACTACCTTCTGGGAGATACTTTTTACGTAGAATTCAAGGTTCTATCGAATGTTCTCAAAAAAAAACAACTGGTCGTCTCAAACTTCTACGGGTGTATGGTGGACTGATGTAATTGCCATGACTGTACCTGGAAAAAACAAGAGTCCAATGTTCATACCCGCAGGGAATACTATTACTACCGTTTCTCTCATCCTACCCACATGGGCACACAACATACAGAAACAATCCTCATCACTCATCTTGCCTCCGAGCTCAATTATCTATTCCAGCATCTAAGCGTTGGCCTACAGGAATGTATATGGATAGAATTACTGGCAGGCAGTTGCACAGAATTTCCCTTGCATGGCCAATCTTACGCTTCATATACTTCTATTAAGCGTAATTATCATCATATCGTATTATTAACGCATCATTTTTACAAATGAGGATAGAGATCAAAAGCTTCCTGTTTTTTTTTCATTTACCTGCTAGAATATATACATATATATCTTTTTGCTTTTTCTTCAACGGTGATTCACGGCATCTTTCCTTAATGTTCCTTCATCTTTCTATTTCCTTATCCGCCTTTCTTTCAGCTATCGGGTGCGTTTTATTTTTAGTGAAGCTTTGGGAATTTCCTATTACAGGTAAACTCTATTGGATTAAATGTGCGCTTTCATGCTTTTATACAGTAACTCTGTTTATATTAAAAAAAAAAAAGTGCAGGTTAGGTACTGCTTTGATCATGAAATGCATCTGTCCTTGGCTAAAGAAACGGGTGACAGGCTACAAAATACTTTTAGAAAGTCCTTGTTATTCGATGATGATTAACTACCTGCGTGCCATAGCCGCTCTCCAATAATGGCGGTAGTAGCGTTAATCGAATAGCGAAGCCAAATGCCTGTTTCCATTGACACTGCTACGTTTTGATCTTCTCCTCGTCATTGTTCCGGATTACAGAGTCCCCCGAAATGAATGCCTTTAACGATATTAATGAAAGAGCAGCGGTAGTAGTCGTTCACCCCGGCTGGGTATGTTTGGGCCTGCGGAGGACGCGACCACAAAGTCAGAGACCCCAAATCCGCAGCTCTAAGGAAAAATATCAACGTGTAGTAAAAGTGCGGCCGTCTCGTGCTATGCAGCAATGGTAAACAAATGGTAAGACTATAGCTCAAATTGGACGGCTATCTGCCTGTTAGACTTTACTCCAAACTGGGTAAGTCAGTGAAATATCTTCCAGTCCTATAATAAAAAAAAAGACTATTTAATCTAAGACAATGTTTCTAACAATCTAAATTGCGTCGCTTCGAATGACTACATTGAAGAGTAAACATGCAATATATAGCAAGGTATAAATGTTTAATATTTAACCGTATCGGATCCCGACAAACGCGCTTAATATGTCATTATATAATTTGGGCAATATTAATACATTAAGTAGGAAGCCATTATTATCAATTATAAGGCAGGTAGAACACTGATTTATCTAAAGAGGCTTTCATTTTTCGTCCGTATTTGAAAGTTCAGAAGAAGCACCACGCTAATCAATTTGCCTGTCCTACGCATTGCAACATGTCGCTTCTTTATGCGCTGTTTCGCAGATCCATATAAATGAACAGCCTACTCGAAAAAGAAAGTCATCGTTCTAGATTTTCTTTGTGAGAATATACAAAATAGGCAGGTTGATTAACATTGTTCTGATGTACATCTCAGTGCATCTGGAACCTTACAAGTTTCATTGCATATACAACTTATTCACCCGTGCTTGACAAGTTCTGGCGTTCGTGCTCATCAATGTCATGTTCACAGTAACAAGCGTCTAAGGTCATTAGCGTGAAGCACAAGGCTAAAAAGGTACAAAACAGGTTACCAACGAGTGGTGTCCTAGTGGCCAATACTTGCTTTATTTGTTCTATATTTCGCAACTGAATTTAGCCATCCTATGAGCGTGTTACGTCGTTCCTTCACACAAATTGCTGCGTTTACCTATCAAAAATCGTGCCGTTGAAGTGCAAGTCATCAGTGGTCCTGTTCCTCACAAGTTATCACACGATTTGCATGGGGTGTCATGACGCGTTTCTGAACCTGCATCAGACAAGATCCCCAACAATTTGCATATTTCTGTGTGAAAAAATTTTCTAATCACTTTCGCAAATCTAACTCCTCACCATCAGGTTTAATCCCTAATTTAGCTCTACCTTAAAGCTCTTTTAAACCCTCTTATCTTGGCACCTCCCCTCATTCTTTCTTGACCGTTAGCAGCATACGTTAAAACATGGAACAATGATGCGTCATCAGTCACTATTCAATTTGAGACATGGACAAATATCTTTTGCAAAAGAAGGAACTTTTCCTATCGGTCAATTGTACGCAACATGCTTTTGGGTGGCCTTAGTACTTCTGTAAGGATAATAGTAATAATATATCAAGTGTGTCAAGATGCACGTTGATCCTCAGCTGAAGTATCTCTCTGTAGCCAAGAGAAAAAAAACTATGACGCCGGATCATCGTAGAGCACTTCTTTTTCCATCGTATCAGCCCTCGACCGACGACTGTGGAAGTGCACTGATGTGTGAACAATTCAGTTATCTCGTTGAGAAAGTTTTTGACGCTTATTGGATTGTATACGGGGTGTAGTTTAGGCAAGCGCCGCGCTGGGACAAGCGATCTTTTTCACTGTGGTTCATTGGTCCTGTGGGGTTTCTAATACAGTATGCATGCTAACTCTCATGCTGGTTCGTTATACGACCTGATGGTCTCGTCAGATGATCGGGCCCTACAGTACAGGCCGAGCCAGTCTAGAATAGGAAAGTGACCAGCTCCTACGTCGACTCAGTGCCTCGCGAATCCAAACCCCAATCTTATGATATAGGATACCAGAAAACGAGAAGATCGCAGCTTGACGAGCTATTTCTGAAAGCCACTTATGCTAAACGGGTTCATATGAATTCAGGGCCGAGTTTTTCTCCTTCAAGGAAGACTCTGTTGTTTTTGGGTTGTTAAGTATAAAATTGAGATAACTTGCATTGTGTAAGTGAAATTGTTTTCTGAACAAAAACAGGTATACGAAGCCAATGCTACTTCGAATGTTATCGCTGCAGGATTAGCACGTTAAAATACATCAAGTGGCGCAAATATTCTATATGAGAAAGATTAATTGTCTGCGTGTTACTTAAATAGGTACGATTTTCGTTAATGTACACATTATATATGCGGTACAATTTTCCATAGCAATAATTACGAAAGCCACACGCTTCGCAGGCAATATAAACTACAACCAATAAACATTTTCGTTTATGCTTTAATCGTTCTTACCTGTTTATCTCCACACCTCAACCGCAGTGAATAGTATTCAACTGCTGAATAGAACTGTAGAATGTATGAGCTCTAAGTTTTCTCAGACAAGCAAATAACTTTTAAACAGGTTTACAATTTAGATGCACCGTATTCATAACGAATCCTGCACTTTTTACCTGGTTCAAGTTGAAATTAGCCTTAGTGACATCCTCGGGGGAACGAAGTTACGTGTGTTAAAAAATATTTCACGTAATTCTAACGTATGGTTAGCAAAAATAACGTCGTCGCCATTTCATTGTCGGCGTTATTTTGGGTTTGTTCCAGTTATCTGCGGGCAATATGCGGGTCAAGCAACCCCCAAAAATGAAATGAAGAAGCGCTTATTTTGGCGACAGGCAGAATTTATGCACTGCTAAATTCGAATCTGACCCATTATCATACAATTATAGGAATACAATACTTGCATTCTAGGCGCACCTAGATTTTCAGGTATCCTTTGTCAGTAGTACGGAAGCGAGCTTGCCATAAAAAAAAAAAGGCCAAACGCAACATCAAGTTCAAGTGGAGACAACATACAGAGTAGCGACGATTCAATGAGCACGCCGTCTTTCTCTCTAAGATAACCTCGCTTAGTAAAAATATGTTTTTATTCCGAAGCACATTTTTCCTTACCCCGCCAATATTTTCGTTTTTTTTTTTCTTTTTTCATCAGCTACCCACACTGTATTTAGATGTATAATGTCAAGAAATATCCTATTGTCGTTCAGATTTGCCTTGCCTGAAAATAATGTCTATCCGCAATGCGCAACTTCTTAAGTGTGTCTCATTTTCAGAATGTAGGTATTGACAACGCTTAATTTCTATGCAGCAAAAAAGACGGCACTACCCTTTCTTTGGATCAGCATTTTTTGTTAAACATGACTTTTGTCATTTCCTAAACAGAACTGTAGAGTAGTAACTGCTGTGACAAAAAACCGTTTTCGGATTTCTTCCAAATGAGAAAAATAGCTTTGAATTGTCAAGCGAAAATTGCGCTCGATCTTGTTCATTGTTAATATTGCATGAAGTTCGAACCACTGTTGTGCTGTCAAATGAGACGAAAAAAAAATTATGAAACTAATGTTCGAAACTGATAGCCAGTATTTTGCAGCGAACATAGTTTTTAACAGCCAAGCTATTACCGAAAACACGTTCTAGCTAGGCGGTATTTAGTAGCCTGCCAAAAACGAGTTTGTTTATCAGGTACCTGTAAAGCTGTAAAACTTTTAGGTAGAACGAAAGCGAAAGCGTTCATCGATTATAGTTCACGGTCGCCCGTTTTCAAGTGGAGGCTACGCGGCATTTTTCGAAATTCTTCCTTTCAAACAATTCCACATAATGTACGTCGCTATCCTCTACTCGCTTTGGAGCAGGGTAAAACATCTGAAGTCGAACTAACGATCAGTATGCTTCCTTGACATACCTTCGCTGTTCGTGTATTCAGCTACAAGTTGCTTGTGAAGCGAACGCGAGCGCCCAATTTAATCCAGTTGTTTCGTCTTACTAGATGTCCTGACAATGGCGCTTCTGCAAGGAACAGATATGCTACTTAGAAGGATACACTCAAGGTTACGTAAAAGACAACTGTTTTTCTTAGTCCATTGATGTACTTTGCGCTATTTGTGGTTTGTGGAAGATTCTGGAAAGGAGTGAACGTTGAGGAAAACCTCTATTAAGCCCAAGACGAGAGTTCAACATCCAGAGTTTCATTAAGAGTTTTTCTAATTTATTAACTTGAATATACAGTGGTAACCGAAAGTTATTCAAAAAGTCACTTAAAAGTACCTAAAAAGTGCTCCAATGCGCTTGAAATTCGAATGAATTGAAAACGAACCGTCAAATCTCAATGAACACTTATACATGTCTTTCATTTTTGAAAAAAATGTATTTTTCTTTTCGTGTATTTTCCTTTACTTTTTTTCACTTACACACTATTGTTTCAACTTTTATTATTGTTTTTATGTCGGTATGTGTTTGCTACACTGCGAGAATTACCTATTGCAATCCATTCCTAAGAACTGAATGGACTTCAAAGGAAAACAATGTCGGTTAGATGAAGGCACGCTTATTGTTCCCTGGATTTACGTTTGTGGGTAATACCCTGGACAGATTTTTATTGAATACGAGGATCCTCGGTTCACAGTGAAAATTCCAATGTTTGCATGAACGAAAAATGTCACTCAGATGAACAACGGCCCTAATAAATCGCAAGCGTCAGTCTGAGATTAATGGGTTGGGGCGGATTTTAGAACGCTAAGCCACGCTTATATTCTGCTTGCATGCGATCCAGCACTATCAAAAATGGAAGGATGTGAATTTTTCGGTCAAAGATTTATGACGCCATTATTATAACATTATTAGATCTAGGACGACGGTATCTTCGAAAATTCATGATAGGTACCCTTGGGTTAACAAATGTAAAACTCCTTGCCTAGCACCAAGTATACACGCTGTTCTGCTTGTTAGCTAATGAGTATACGGTCGAAATTTCAAGCAAAACAAATTAACTCTTTATTTGTTTTTGGTCGGGAAAACTGAATATCATACATTTTGGATATGCAAAAACTCTTTTCATTATTCATCATTTGTATATCCGCATGACATGAAAGCAAACAGACAAAGATTTCATTTTATCAACGCTTTTCTTGAGAATTTCGCCAGCTGATAACAATTTCTTAGACGGAAGACAATTGAGAATTTAAGCGGTCAGATATAGTTTGCCAGTTAACACAGACGAAATCTATTTAGCTAACTAATTCAATATTTTCCCTTCGACTAACATAAGCGAGGTATCAATATAAAAACAATACTTCCAATGACTCACAAAGCACTTTTATTCGTCCATTACTACCTGGACTGCGGCTATAACTACAGGCAAGTTCTTCGTGGGTACAAATATTTGTCGTCACGATCTCGTCATGTCTCGCTATAAAAGGGCTCCCCAACAGCATTTCATTTTGGACAAAGGAACAGAGATGTTTACCTCCTATACACCGTTTCCAGTGATCAGAAGGGATATCCTGTCAGGAACAGCTGAACTCAAGCTAACCTTTAGATGTCGCACGCCGCAGATTTATATACAGACTGTGTACTGAAAAATATGCAACGTAATCAACTTAACGGATTAAATTCCTTCCAAGTGCAGCCTAAGACACTTGAAAGTACGTTTGAAAGTATTACAGATCAAACTGATTTTCTGCAAGCACTTTTCTGCCGCTTACGAACACACAGCTCGTCTTAGACTAAAATGATGGGTGAACGGAGGACCATTAAATGCTGAAGCATAGTGTCGTAGATTCTCGGTTGGATATTGCCCTTGTACTACAGATTCCGTCGCCGCTGTGTTAATGGTGTCAACAGACCTCGTAGATTGTCTCGATAGATTCGAGCATCTGTACTACTACGACCTCTTAAACTCCATTCTTGGACTAGAACATTCGAGTCTAAGGAAACTTGGGACTAGTTTGCGCGTAGTGCCTTTTGGCAGCACGGAAGTATCAATGTCAAAGAGATGTACCTTCTGAGCAAGGAACTTACGCGGCCCTGAGGGGCCTTGTTTACAGCTATAAGCTGACTCCGCAAATAGCTTCGACCTTTTCTACTAACTAATGAAAGAATCGAGCAGAGGCCAAGAAGTACGCCTCTTTTCTTTCTAGCGTTTAATGGCGAAACCCTCAACACGGTTACAAAGCGTCTTAGCAGTGTAAGACTGCTTTCGTCATTGCAGACGCATGGCATAATTGACTCTAGCAGAATATATGTTGCGCACGACAAATCATAAGAATTGCCAATCTCATGCGGATTTTTGTATGAGCAAAGTATCTGATGAGAATTGTGTACTGAATATCTGGTTGGAAAATAGTTAGGCTAATTTATTCCTGATGTATCAGTTCTGAATTGTGCTTTGTGCGAAATTTGCTTTTGTGCATTATCATACTACGAGCGGCAATTTTTGCCGTTGTTTTAACAGTTTTATATATTATTGAAGTATATAGCCTCAAGATTTCTTTATAATGGCGTATCGAAACATGTGATTTTCGATAACTATTTTACCTAAATCAGGCGTAATTACCGAAAATTTCATACCAATACACTCTTCCAGCTTTATGGACTTGTGTTTTCTAGGCTATGCGGCAATAAATACGGACCCAACAATCTTAGACCTTCGCAGAAGGAGGCGTAAAGCGGCTAGGAGCTGCGTGCTAGTTGGTTATTACATAAATTGATGTAGTACGAACCTTTGTACAGTGGATCCCAAACAGCATATGTACTATGATTAGACTATTCTTAATTGGATCTTTTTGACAGTATAATTATATCATTTACTTGGTTTCACTGCAATAGTTTCATTTTAGCCTCGCTTCTGGGAGGACCCTGGTAAGAATAGCATATTTTGTTTTCCTCATCATGATGTACGAGTGCATCTTGAGGAGAGTCTTTCGAATAAATTGGATGAAGAGATGCGATAAGATATCCTGCCCAATCTCCAGACCTGATGGTAATGCGCCTGTTTTATGGTTATACCTTAAAGATGAAGTCGACACGAGGAAATAGAAAACAATCATAAATTTAAAAGCCGCTGCTAAGATTGTAAATCAACAGGCCAATTATCAGTAGTGTATTATCAGAATAGCAATAATTTTTAACACCTGCGATAGAGGGACATGTTATACCTTTCATATAACTTCTTTTGAAATTTAATTACTAATTATATATAAATAAGGAGCAAAGTTATAATCATTCACGTTTTGGGACACTGTGTATTTATTTAGTACACCTCAGCTGCTGTAAGCTTATCATTCTTCTTATAAAACAAAAAAAATATTTTACCACTTTATTATTAAAGGAAATGGCCGTACATGGAAATGACCGTAGTTTGAGCTCCTCACGATAGGACGATGCTTCTGGCACAAAAAATTGATAAGGGCAAATGCTTCATGACCATTTTGCCCGAAAGGCAAGAATACTTACCCTCCTTATTACGAGATAGACTAGCCTCCTCCTGAACTTTCAGCGAGCCCTACACGATAGCTTTCAGGGTAGGTCGCTTATAACCAAAATGATTGGATCATCCGAATATTAAGGCAGGTGCCAAAATGATCCCTTGTGTAGCTTTGATAAAATGGGTAATTTAGAAAGAAAAAGTAAGTTGGCTCTTCGTGTCACCTATAACTGTTATATTTAGAAGTCGAATAATGTGGCCAACATTTTTTAGATTTAACCCAAAAAATTTATTACGAATTTAAGTCACTGCGCTTTCCGTTAGTTATCAATTGAAACAGCTTGACGGGCCCGTATTATCTTAACGTTTATGTTCGACTTCGAAAGAGTGATTTCGTTTTGTCTTCAGCTGTAAGCGAAACTGATTTTATAGTTTTCTTTAAATCTTCTGCATTCGGCACGGTTGTGACAACCGACCGCGATTTCTGTTGAATTACGTAAAAGATCTATTTCAGCCATAATGTAGCTTTGTTATAATTGTGCAGATGAAAGTATATAGACGGCTTAATTTATGATCCGCAGCGTCCAGAAGATCGTCCTAGGCTGGGGTCTGGTCTACCTTGCAATCTATCACAATACGACTTCGTTCACCATGACCATTCTAAGTATGCAAGCAAGCATAACCTGTCTGCGTTCGGAACAGACAGGCTAAAGAGGACTAATTGTTCAATGAAACATATTTTGTCACACAACTGAATAAGCTACCCATATAAAAGAATATCGACTTAAATGATAAGCTTATTTCACTCTGTTAGGTCGAACCCTAATAAATAGTTTGGTCAAGCCAGCCTACTCCTAAGCCTTTCCACAAGGACGCTGAACTTTAGGCATTAAGGCACGCGCATTTTTAACAACGCAACCACTATCTTGCTACAGTGGCTCTTCATTGTGTTGCTACTGTTCCTCCATCTTGATCCATTTATGCTCTTAGCTTGACTGCTCCTGGACTGGGTATAGGTAGCAAAGATATCGAGGTCCGCCTCGTCCGTGTGACCTTAGTCGCACCTCCGAAAATAAAGCGTCAAATGCAAACGACTTTCTGTACAGTTGGTGTGCCAGTTCCCAACCTAAATCAGTAAACTCGAACCCAGTCGGTTTTTAATGGCGGTTTAGAAGATGGTCGCCGTTTACAGCGTTTTCACACCGCCTACGTGCACCAAAACTAGTTTACCAGCAAACAGCATGAACACTGGCACCGAATACAGAGACACTCAACTGCCTATGGCGAGTTGCATGGGCGCATAATCGGCTCGTATGATCTTCTTGGGCGAAGTGGGACGCGAGTTGTGGTTCCTCCATGTGCACCTGGGCGTCCCCTTTCCCCCTCGGGGCTTTTGCGGATATAGAGCACTGAATGATACCGTCATATAAATACTCACAGCTCACAGATTCGAGCGCAGTAAGCGCAACGTTTTTTAGGGGTAGCGTCTGCGGCAATCGCCGGATTGGTCTACCGTATTGTGGGTTATCTTATTCTACAGTATACTAGCCCGTAGCACCGTGTAGTGACACGCTTATAAAGTGACCGTGACTGTCATATGGGTTAAATTCATTTGATTCTTTTGGAAGATACGTGACCATGCTCGTCGGCAATGGTAATATATATTAAAGAGCTATTTAACAAATGGCTACAACTGCTTTTAGATCGGGTCGGAAACGGCTAGTAAAAATATGTCGACCATTTGCGAGCTGCAGGCTATCATCCATGAACACATATATCTTTGTGTTGCTAGATTAGTGTACTATTTTTAGACATGTAACGTACGTAGATATATCAATCGCAACGTTCCTAGGTAGGTTGAGCTTGAAAAAAATAAAGAACGTATTACGTATTAGTAAAGATTATATATATACATCGAGCTTAATGCAGTTGCATCCATTTAATGGACTGACCTTCAGTGACGACCAAAAACGTAGCTCGTAACATGTTTACATTCGTTGATCGTTTTAGCCTTAGGTTTTATTCGACGTCCGTACTTCTACCCGCCGCTAAACTTACTTGACAGCGGCACTTGTCGGAAAAGTCTGCACTGTATATTTCAAAACATATCTTTCTCTAATTTTTTTACAGAACTATGGAAACGACAGTTCCATAACAATATCGTATGTTCTAGTATTATCTTGAAAACGAGTTCAATTTTAAATTGTTGATAAGCTTTATTGGTATACGTAACGATAGAACGGCATACGTTATAGGAGTTTAGCGGGTGCTCAATGCATTTCATCAAGAGGCATAGATCACTATTTAGAAGACTTGCAAAGAAGCGCATAACGATCGAAATTCGTGTCAAATACACGCGATCACAACGTGGGGTGCCGCTGCATAAATCGATTTGTTTTACCCCTCGCAAGCAAAATGTGGCGCAATAAGTCAAAATTGAAACATTATTAAGAAGTATCAAATGCTAAAGTCGAACAAATCTTCTCCGAAGAAATCTCACAGATTTTATTCAAGGTTCTCATTATTGTTGATTTTTTTTTCCTTTAACAGTAAATCAATACATATTTATGGCGTCGTTAGCGTTATGATGAAAGGTTTCAGTCTTTTCATGCAAAAAAAATATTACGTTACTGTTTATTAAAATATTATGTGTATATTGGCGGAACTATGTGGTTATTTTGTATGATATTTAGATAGTATAGCATGTATGATATTGGCAAAAGTGTTCGGGAACTGAATATAAATATTGTCCACACTTAGATTCCTGTGTTACTTAACGCTTCTGACACTTTAGAAATTAAAAACGTATTCAAAATATGCTTCGGCAATTCTTAACAATCTGAAGACAGTCATTTTCACCATGGTAACCTCTGCTGCTGTGGATGTCTTTGTATGTATTTTGCGACATAGCTGCTCCCAGGCACTTTCCATGACCACGAAAGGGTTGCCACACCATATAACAATGAGAAGAACATCTTCGCGTGCGTACGGTATATAATTGCGTCCGTATCAAGTCCTTCAGACGAATAATAGTAGTATCTTTATTTATGTAGTGCATATGAAGAACACACCTAAAGAAGGACTCTACAGAATGCTTCCTGGAACCAAATGGTCCCTTGATGAGGCACAATAAGCCTATCATGTTTTATAGTTCTATTTAAAACAACCCATTATTTCTAGGACCTATGGCAATCGGACTATGTAAAAACAGCCCCTAAACAAGTACAGTTCTCTATATACGCTGCGATATGATCAGGTACGTCGAATTACCATTGCAAAGTAACTAATCCAATATTCCCTTCTGTCTGACAAGGTCGATCAAACGCGTGCTGGTGGAAAATTAGTTAGCAATGTTATTCCTGCAATTTTTTATTGTTTTCGTAGATGTTGAATTAATGGGAAGATGAAGACAAAATAATGTGTTATGCTACCAGTCATCTCGGCGTCTTCACAGTTTAAGTTACTTCCCCCAGCCTGTCCGACAAGAGTCGCATACACTGATAAACACAACACACAAATAAAAAAACAACATTTAACAACGAGATCGAGTTCATATGTTCCGTAGCAATACATTAGAACGCAAAAAATATCGAATATATATGAGACCGAGTGCAAGAGACCCTTCACTTCAAAGAAATCGTAGGGTGAAAGATACAATATAGTCGCAATCTTAACGGAAGCCTGCTCAGTCATATAGGATATATGTGTTTTTTTATATGTAAGTACAGTGTACATCACTCATGGCCATTTCACGGAGACGTTTGCAACGGAACGCACGCGTGCCAGGAGACGTTTTCCTGGATAAGGTTATAAGGTGACTGGAGCGCACGCCGACCTGTCCCAATACAAGTGACTTTTGTAATTCATTTGATGAGCCAAAAATCCTATGGAATCGGCTTTCGTAAAGACTTTTTGTCTGCCTGTCGGTCCGTCCGCCATTGCTCGATGTGCACAATGGCACTAATATAGTTTCCCTTCCCGTTAGTACAACGTACATGCATAAGGGAATGGCAGACATGTGCATGACATAAAACATCAGTTTCAAGGTATCTGCATGATATGGTCCCCTCAAGTTTTCGCTACTTTTGCGACCCAAAATTCTGGCTACTGCACTATGGAATCATAGTAGATAAATTCACGTTTGGGTAGGGGGTAGAAAACAAAATAGACAAACTTCGCAGACACCATTTGCGTCTGTAATCGCCTGTTGCGAGGGGATCGGTCGGATGACCAGCGACAGAAGATAATCAGACTAGCTGAGAGTTTTTTAGGGTTTTAATACTAACTATCGTTCTTTCTGGCAATGTAATGATGTAAACTAAAATACTTCCTCTAGGAATGAGATAGATCGAACGCGAGATTAGTCTAGACAGATTTATTCGTTTACTCAGTATGTATTATAAACAAAAACCTTAGTATGAGCACCCCTTGATATTTTCATATACCGATAATAGGGGATACATCCGCTCTTGTACAGGAAGCGGTGTCTTGTACCAGCTTTTGAAAACAACGAATAAACACGTGGGTGACAAGACGGAGTTACGGACGTTAATATTCAACGAGGCGGTCAAGCCGGCCCAGTGGACAAGCAAACCATACGAAGGTTCTTAGTGGAACGAGACAGACCAGCAGATCAGATAGTGAGTTGACCGCTGAGATGCCCGTAATGATCAACGAAGGACGTAATTTCGGAGAAACGGCTCTCAATAAAAAGCTAAACCAGAGCTTGGTCGTCACTTAAGGTACGAAAGGTAATACATGTTCCATAGCTATACGTAGGTTACCTACAAGCTGTAGTTTTATACATACCATGCAGGATTAACATTTGGACCGTAAGGGGTTCATGTGTCCTTGTCTATGGGGCAAAGTACATTCTGGCCTTCGGCGACCATGTGAAGGGCATGCTTCAACAATATATTCGTGATGAAGGCTGCAGTATCGAATTAAATTTTCTAGCAGGAGGGTGTACCTGATAGAATGATAACAAATCCTGAAACAAATAAGTGTTGTTCTATTGATAAACATTATCAAACAAAAACGATACCGTTCTTTATACGTAGTTACAATTTATAGAGCATTTGACAATCACATGTCAATCCACGATTTATAATAATTTGTGCTAAGAAACTCAATGAAGGTGCCCCCTTAGTCGCAACTTCTGTTTGTGATAGGTCTATTCTCGCGGTCCTCCTCAGGCCTTAGATCAATGGAACGCTTCGAGAAGCCGTGGCAATAGAGATGGGATGACATAGGCATTTTGTATTGCTTAGAATCATGTTAAGAACTATATGGCATTCGGGAAAGCACTATAGACCTCACTCAGGCCCATTGATTACTCTGAATACGATGAAAAGAACGTTTGACTACAGCCATTTTTCGTCATTTATCCTCAGATCATTCGAGCCTAACGCTTGCGTGTGTTTGTGACGGAGCTCTATGGTGAATGGGTAACAGATAATTGCAATTTGTGTACTTATAAACGGGCTGTTATGTTGGTAACCAGGTTGCTGGCTTTTTCCTACACTGTAGCCGTTCTGTTTGTTCACAATTTCCGTGGGTATGCGTCGGAGAAAGCTTTAAAAGACCAATAATAATTAAAGATAAACGTTGATGCTGACAAGTTTACAGTATATCTATTGGGAAGACGAGCGCTTTTGGGTGATTGTATATCGCCCAATTAAGTGCGCCTTTAATGGAAATTAATTCTTTAAACCAAATGCGAACTGTAACAGCGATAACGCTAGTTAATTTGTGCTCGTGGTAAAGGTGAACCCATTTTAATTTCCATAAGCTTTTTGAACCTTATGACTACGGCTTACGATAGCTATGGTCGAAGTTTCTCGTACACAGACGCCAACGCAGCCCACACGTAAAATAATATTACATGTAAAGGTATACACAGTCATTAAATTCGTAGAATATCTATTAGAAGTATCAAAGCTATGCACTGTTTTCAAAACATATATATATATATGTATATATACATAACACCGTACTGAAATCCGATTGCTACTTTGTTAGTTTCTGGTATGGATAATTTCTTTGATATGGACGTATTGTTTATAGTTAAGCCAATGGGAAACAAAAATAATTTTCGGGCACAAACAAGATTCTGTTCTTAGAGCCTGTACTAAAAAATCTGCAAATCCATAGATTGGGGATTTAGGGAGAGAGCTCAAGGATAGCTACGATGTGCATATAGAAACTCAAAAAGAAAAGGTTGCGAGCGCTACATCGCTCCGCGAGCGCAAGGTGCACATGTTTGACGCTCAAAGAAACAGATATCACACCAGGGGGGGGGGGGACTGTGAATATCACTGTCCATAAGGATAGTATAAGCAATTAGTTGAAAAAATAAACCTTGAAGAACATATGCGAATAGAAAATTTAACTTAATCGCTCGTTGAACAACCGTGTACAGGCTGTTTCATCCCGATTGCAATTGACCGCTAGCAAATGTATCAGTGGCAGCAGAGGGTAGGTCATAGAACGAAAACTAATTTTACGCAAAAAGAAGAGACTAACTGGTTTCAGACTAACCCTTAATCCTGGGGGGTAGCGCCCAACAACAAGCACATGTTGCAATAAATCGGAAAGCAGGTCTCCACATCACTGATCTGAGTAGAGAAGAGGGATGATCTTACGTTAATGTAAGCTCTATGCTTGGATAAACTAAAGGGGTACCTCGACACTTAGAAAAATGTTTTTAGAGATCATATTGCATAATAACGTGAGCGTCAATTTAACGAGCAGTCTATGTCTACTCATGAAAAACCGCTCGACAACAGACGCCACCAAAGCGATCCTTGTGTGAGTGACTGGGGCAGGAATAAACAAAATGAAGTGAGAAAGAAGGCTGTGCGCTGTTGAGGTTGTCTATACTAGAGTTAGTTTTGAACTCAATGTCACGGCAGGTTTTCAACAGAACTACGGAGAAAAAAGGCTGGAACCCATTCTGAGATGAATAATCTTAGGCTGTTTAAAATATGCTTTTATACATGACGATGACGTTTTTAGCATGCCTGGGGGACGCTCCGAAGCTCTGTACCTGGTCCTTTGCTTTGGAATCTTAGCTACAATTGGATTCTTAAGCTGCCATTTTTTGTGGTCGAACTAGTGCCAGTCGTCATTCACTAAAGAACTCCAGGCGTATGTAGACGATACCTCCGACCTGGTGTGTTCATGGATCAAAAATCATGGACTAGAGCTGGTTTCGAAGTAAACTGAATTATTTTTTTTATCATTATACTATAAGATACTCAGGCATGATTATTGTATTATTATATATAATAAATGATTCAGAAATTTTCTATGAACAAAGTCTCAAAAATAATTAACAGACTCGTCAGAGTCCTTTCAAACGTTTCCGGCCCGAGCGATGGTCCACGCAGGGTATTAGCGTCCGCGCAGAGCTCAATTACGTTATGTGGAACGCCAATCTAGAATGAAAAATAAAGCAGTGCTGAGGAGGACTTAAAGACAGATGGCGATAAAGGCGAGTAAAGCCTTTATAATTATCTCTTACAATGCGGTAACAGTTATAAATAGACAGGTGCTTCGGGACCTGCTCATGAAGGAAGAATCAGAGAACCTTCTTGATAGAAATCCAAAAAAACTACGCTTTGCTAAGCGACATTGAACGAATGGCAGATAAGATAACAGTCCGAAAATACAAGCACAACACAGTTCATAAGACAAATTATTAGAGGCATTGGTCATTTGACCATCTTAGTCGGATGCTCGATAGCCTTCCATTCTTTGGTGACTATAAACTTCGTATGACTAAGTCCGTGAGTGACATTTCTAGTTTCTGTAGTTTGGCGGCAGAACATTTTTCGAGAATATGTAGCTTTGTAGAGGAGAGGAACGAAGTGGAGGGGCGCGCCGGGGGTTTTTTGACACGGATCAGCGGATATTAAAAATACTGGCGTCTAGAGAGAAACGGAAGGTGATGCGTAAATTTGGTGACAGTGTCTTGGAGAAAAATAAACCCAGAAATATCTGGGGAAATACCTGGGGCGGATAAGGAGTGAGCCTCTGGCTCCTTTTCAATTCTGCGCTTTTACTAAACCTTATTTCTCCCTGTTTCTCACAGCACTCGTCGAGACTATGTTTGAGCAGTTGTGGTTTTTTCGGCTCTAACCACTTATTCACCGTTTCAAATGGCGAATACTTCTTTGTGCTTATTTATAAACTAGACTTCGGGAGGAAGTGGTTTCAGTGGGTTAAAAGAGAAAAAAAAATTAGGCCACGGTCTCGAATGACCGACACTAAATCCGGCACTAGTTGGGTAGAGATAGACGCGTTGCCGCCACCAGCAACTTCCAGAGAAACTAAATAAAAACAAAGTGTTCATGGATAAATTGACAACTTTCACTGGCGGGGTAGAGTTTAAGAACGCACTTTAATGACACGAAGTTTACATAACCCTACCAGAAGAACTGATCTGTTGTCAAAGGCCGTTGGATCAGCGTGGTACCAAAATCATATGCTAGGTTTGTTTTTTTGTGCAATCAAATCTACTAAGAACAATAAATTTCTTCGCATTTTTCTTGCTCCCCATACTTTTTTCACTATAGCACTTTCAGTTATTCTCTCTATATGAACAAATACTCGAAATACAGATATAAGATATAACATTAGACATTTGCCCCCTTTAGAAATCTAAATTGGTTCTTGTTGGACTTCTTCGATTTTTCGCCAGTGATACCTATGGAATGAGATGGCTCTCATTCATAACGTTAATAATTTTCATGTTCCTGGATACTACTTGGTCTGGTAATAACGTTTGTCGATACTGAAAGGTGAGCTACTGTAACTGTATGTTGGTTAGTTAATAGTTGTCCTGGCAACGCTTTCAAGAGACCCACTAGGCACCAAAACCACCCATTAGACATCAACAGCTATTCATTACTGCAGACCTCTTTTTGTCCTTTTCTTATCACTATATACACATGTGACAGTAGGTGCATTATATTACTGCCGGCAAATATTGGTACGAATATAACCCGAACACATGTCGGGTGGAGTCGGTTGGAGGGCTAGAGCTCTACAATAAAAACCAACGTAAATAGAACAGTGTATAGTAAATAACACCCTTATCGTTTGAACATTATCTTAGTGACAAATACAAACATACTTGACGTCCTCTTTTATATCTTGGATATTGTCAATAGCAAATATAGTCATCTCATAAGAGATAGACATTGTAGATTACCATACACATGTTTTTGCACAATGCATAAAACAGCACAAGAGAAATCCATACAGCTAAAACTCTGGAAATCATTTTTTCTCTGGACTTTGCTTTTATACAAAGAGAAAAAACACCTGAGAGTTTCAGTTTCTTTGGCGGAACCGCCATCGGAATCAGCAGCTAACCTTATTTTTCATTAGGCAATTAAGTGGTATGCCCCCCAACCCTTTGTGTCAAAAAGACAGTAGATCTATTTCCAAAATACAAAGTCAACGTTTCGTAGAGTTTCCTAATAGAGCTTGTAGAAAATTTGTGCGATGTTTAATTTACGAATGGCCCAGACGTATGTGTGCCTGCGTTACTTTGCTAAAAGCAACGATTTCCAGCCCACTGAAGCTTTTAGCTATTTTTTTTTTTTAGCCAGCTTTAGTTACGCAGAATACAGGTACATGTATCAAACAATACATCCGACATTCTAAAAATAGAGGCACTAATTCAAATGGGAACTCCTTAGGAATTTTTCACTTCCTTATCGACATATCGGTCATATTTGGGAACGTATCCTTGAAAACATACTCGAAACAAATCTAATCGAGATCGAGATCGATGAAATCGAGAGAATCAGAATCCACTGGCAAAATGCTTACAGCTTCTATATTAATAGATTTCTCTGATCTCAGGTATTCCCGTTTGCTTAACGGTTGCATTCATTTCACTGAAAGAGCCTGCGGCAATTTTGACAGCCTTGCATAGTGCCAGAATGCTTAACAAATTGAGAAGGACATAGAAAATTG